TTTGAATGAAAAATTTACTTTCCTTTTTCTAAAAGGTGTAATTCTTTATATTTGACTTACAGGATTACTTTCTCTAAATCATGTCAGATATTGCAGTAACTCATCTCTAAGCTTAGCATGGCCAAGTAGGATGAACACACATTTTACATTCATTGCCATATATTTAAATTGCCTTTGTCATCTCGTCTTCCTGGCTCTGAAATGAAAGCCTGGAAGAAGCTGCATTTGGACTGGAATGACCAAATGGTCACAGGAGACACATGTGGATGGTGGGGAAGAAAGAAGGGGAAAATCCCTTAATTTGACTGCATACTTTGGCAGTTATTGCTGGTGGATGAGAAGGAGCAGGAAGGGTCTGTCATGCTATCCCCACAGAAGACCTCAGAAAATCAGAGTTTTCATCAGGTGGTCATCTTTAAAGTAGTTTTTAACGAGGGCTGCTTATCAGCACATTTTACAATGTGACATTTGTCTTTGGAAAATACCATGTCCCCAGCAGAAGCCCATACCCAGGGAGCCCAGGCGAGGAGATGCTGCTGACTGACGTCAACGTACGTCAAAGAGGAAAGTATTTTGGGCTCTGCTTATGAAGTGGAAGCCAGACCATGCTCGTGTTGCAACACTGATATGCCTTTGGCACAGGGACCCCCCCGGGACCATGGGGTGACTTTAACCACTGTGCATATTTGCTGTTTGGTGCCGATATCACCATGGCAGAGGTATGTGGTAGGTTTCATGGAGTGGCACAAGTGTCCTGCAGAAAAGGCTGTTTTATTGGCACGTGTTGAAAGCAGCTTGAGAGGGCTCTGAGATTTCTGCTTTGCTGAGCTCTGACTGGGGTACATGGGAGGAAGGTGACGCTTTGGCTTTGCTCTCCAATGGGACCTGTGAGCCCAGCAACATCTTGGTGGGACGCAGGGGAGCCTGGATGGGGGGACTGCCCTGGGAACCCCCCATCTTCCAGCTCAATGGGGTCTGCAGAGGCATCTCTCTGCCATATTAAGGCCTGGCTGCTTGGCCCAGGCTGCAGGGAGGGGTGCCAGCTGCCTGTTCCAGCTTTTCTGGCATTTCAGGAATGTCCATCCCTCACTGAAGCTACATTTCAAAGTCTTTAACCCTTCATTTGTCTGCGTCCCGCACGCCTGAACGTGTGCCAGCCTGGTCCTGGTGCGTGGGCAGAGGGGCACTGCAGAAGGGACCTGATGTCCTCCTTGTACCTGAGCACACTGGGAGGTCTCAGTTTGGTGGTACAGTGGCAGTGTGTCCTGGAGATCCCAAGCCATGCAGGAGCTCGTCTCTGGCTCTTCAGATGTAGCGTGTCCCTGTGCATCTGCTTCTTTGCCATTCATGCTCAGAGACGTGCAGCTTGCAGAGCCCACTGCCCTGCGGCTTCAAATGACCCATGTAATGATGCAACTGATTCATTTTGGGCCCAGTACGTACCCTTGTACCTGGCCAGGTGGGAAGCGCCAGGTGGTGGCACTCCACTTCTCCAGCATTGTTGTTTTAGGGAGAGATCCCTCTGCAAATGCTTTCAAGTTTGCTTCCTTCTCTGGTAGACTTGTCCTCCTGGGGAAGGTGATGTGACATCCTCACCGCTCCACCACAGTCACCGAGGTCACGTCAGGGACCTTGTCTTGTGGAGAACAATTTCAGTCTTTGGACACGTAGTTATGGTGACCTGCCGTAGCTGTGTTCCTCCCTCCTGTATGACATTGCATAGGCCACAGAAATCCTCTCTGGCAGTCGTTGTGGATTTCAGGAGGGTTTTGCCCACTCAGACCCAAGCTATTGAGTTTCTTTGTATAAAAAAAGGTTTAGGAGAGAGGTGGTATTAATTCAGGTAGGTACCAAATGGGCTTGGTTCTGCTCTTGCTAAAACCTATGGGAGATTTATCTTGCTAGTTAAATCTCTTAAACCACCAGAGACTTTTCAGTGATGTGCTTTGAAGTTCCACCAGTGCTTTAAATTAAATTTACAGTGACACCAAAAATGGTAATTTCTTTGTCATCTAAAAAAAAGTCGTGCGTCTTGTGATCAGTCACCAGATGTGTTTGTCAGGTTGGCACAGTGGCATTATGTGACAGTGTGCCAAATCAGCAGCAGGTTTAACGGTTCGCTGCTCCCAACGCTTTCTTCCCCTGCAGAAAGTGAAGCCCGAGTACTTGCAGAGCCGGGCAGGTCTGTGCTTGCGGCAGCAGCATCTTCCCACGAGATGGTGCTCAGAGCTCGTGGTCCCGCCGGCGGTCAGTGCCGGGAAGCCAGACCTTCTCCTGGGCATGGACTGCTGCAGGCGGGGATCCAGCCTGGCACTGGCTGGCCCTGCTTCCGCCGCTCACTTAGCTTTCAGCCTGCAATGAGCCTGTAACTGCACGTGTAAGTGCTTTTCTGACCTGGGAGCCATCACGGCTCAGGTGTAGCTGTGTTCTGTACTTCTCAGGATAATGGAACTATTTAAAAAAAAAAAAAGGTATTTTGCAAGACGTTGAGTCCTGACTGGAGGCATCCGCATAGGGAAAGGTGTCTGGATGGAGAACAGAGCTGTCGGGGTTGGGCCGGGACGCCTGGGCAGTGCCATGCTGCGGGCGAAGCGCTGCATGGCGGGTTGGTGGTGCTGGCAGCTGCCCCGGTGCTGAGGAGCTGCTGGGGTTTGGGAGACCCAAGCTGATGTCTCTGCTTTGCAGTGAGGCTTCTCCTGTACCTGGACCAGCTGTTTATGTCTGGGAACAGGAATATACACAGGCATTTTCTCCTCTGTTAAAGGCACAAATGCCTTCCTCCCGTCCTTCTTTGTCTGTCACCGCTTTCAGTGAAGCATCTCATGGGGTGGTCAGCCCTCAGCTGAGCTGTGTATGGGCAGTGCCCAGTGCTGGGAACCCAGCTGGGGATGCAAAGCGCTCCTGTACGTATAACTCCTGCTCCGAAAAAGCCTTGCAGTGGAGATCAGCCTCAGCCCTATATTTTAAATGATGCGAATAAAATATTTTAGGTCTTTTTTTCACCAATATAAATCTCGGGTTGCCTTTGCAACCACAGGCCTGAGTTGGTCTCGTTCCTAATTTAGGGTTTACGTGAGGCCAACACCCTATGTATCCCTGAAACCCTCAGTGTGCCCCAGCAGCTGTTGTGGCTGAATATCCCCATGCCTCTTGCTTTCCTCCCCAGCAAAGCATCGCCCCTGAGCTGGTCCCACCATCCCTCTGGTCTCCTTCCCCTCCTTTAAATCCCTGCTGATGTCCCACTTCCTCCCCAAAGCCTCTGTGAAATGGGCCGACTGTCATCGCCTGAGCTCACCCGGTAGCGCGGGGATGAAGGATTAGCGGGCAGGGGAGCTGGGAGCTGGCAGACGGGGAGGCAGTCAATGGGGGCTGGTGCTGGGAGTTGGGTGAGGACACGATGTGTAGGAGATGAATCACAGAAAGGAATATTCATCGTATTTACCCACGGCACCGGAAAAAAAGACGTACTGTAAAGCAGAGCGATGCTTGGCGTTATCTCGGCAATCTCACTTTTGTAGGCTGTGCTGGGGTTTGGCAGCGTGTGCTCGGGCTGCAGTTCTTGGAGGAGAGGACTTGTTTTGTGCTTGTACTGTGGCCCATCACTGGGGCTACAATGAATACCAACAGCCCAAAGCCTGAGAAGGCTCCGGTGCGCTCTGTGCCACTGCTGTGGCAGTCAGTGGTGGCAACTGCTCCCTCTGGTCCTGAAGCTGAGTTTGAGGTTGATGTAGATGTGCTTGTCTCATGTCCTGAACATCAGCAGCTGTTACCCCGGTACCGAGCACAGAAACACATTCCCACAAAGGAAAGCATGTAGCGATCCCTCTGTCCCTCTTCTCCTCACTTTTATCATTCTGATAAAATGCCATTCCATAAATTTTGCAGCAGTGAATATATATTTCTTTCCTAATCACTGATGGAAAAGCTGAGCAGAGGCTTGGCTGCCCTCCTCTGCAGAGCTGCCCTGGCAGCTGGATGCTCAGGGAGGGACCCTGTGGAGAGCTGCATCTGGAGATCTCTCTGCCAGCTCTTCATCTGCTTTACGGGTGCTTTACTGACTTGCACAGTACCCATGTAAATCGAGATATCATGTGGTGCAGAGCCCAGCACCGTACCAAAGTCAAGGTATGTTCTCTCTAAGCAGTTACTTTGATCCCCAAGGCTGGATCTCATCAAAGGCTGAAATCAGGATTGTTTGACAACACCTATTTTCCATTAGCAATGTTGACAGCATTAATTATATTCTGATGCTTTAATTCTTTATTATTGAAATCACACATCAGTGATAGTCATTATTTTGCAAGGGGGTTGATGTTATGCTAATCAGCTTGCAGTTAACTGGGTCATCCTACTCATTTTTTGGCTGTGGGCACAACACTACTGCTCTTGTACTGGAGTCTCTGTGGTCTGCCAAGATTTATTTTAAACAAACATGAGCAAGCCAGAGTTTCTGAGCCAGCTTTTTTAGGACTCTTGGGTGCAAGTTATGTGAAAATATTTATCCCTGTTGTATACTGTTTAACGTCTTCCTTGGTTACTAATGGACTGGAAAGGACTTCATTGTCCTCAAGTGATACAAGTACATCATCTTGCTGCTTTGCAAAGGCAGATGGGAATCTTCTGCCTTTTCTTTGTCATTATTAACTGCTTCATAGAATCATAAAATGGTTTGGGTTGGAAGGGACCTTAAAGATCGTCTCGTTTCAACCCTCCTGCCATGGGCAGGGACACCTTCCACAAGACCAGGTTGCTCAAAGCCTCATCCAACCTGGCCTTCAACACTTCCAGGGATGGGGCAGCCACAACTTCTCTGGACAACCTGGTCCAGTGCGTCACCATCCTCAGTGTGAAGAGGCACCCTCAGAGTGAAGAGTTTTGCTCTTTCTGTTTTGGAAGTGGCTGGTGCTTGTCTTAGGATTTCTTTTGTTTGTACTGAACTTTGAAGATCTCTTCTGTGTTAGCTCATTGCCTCGTGGTCTCCTCTCTTCTCATTCCCACAGGTACAGCCTCCAAATCACAAGGAACGGAGCAAAAGCTCAGCCTGGCAACCACGAGGTGAAGATGAAAGGTCCTGAGCCAGTGATCAGCCAGATTATTGACAAGCTGAAACATATCAACCAGGTTTGTGACAGACGTGCTAGCAAGGATGGCTCCAGAGTGGGTGGCTTCCAAATCAGTCTGGCTTCCCCAGACAACCCATGGCAGCTCCGTCTTCCGCAGCCACGTGCGGAGCCAGCGCTGCCTCGGCCCCGCTCGGTACTGGGCTCGCAGGGCACGTGCGGCAGGTCCTGATTCATGCACGCTGGGGTGATGCTCCGTGGGTGAAGCAGGAGCTGCAGGGCACGCGTGTTGCAGTCCTCCAGGGCTCAGCCTGCACCCAGGCAGATGTGTGGCTGCATCCTTGCAGCGTGCTTCCGCTGGGCATCCATCCCTGCACAGCGGGGGACCGGGAAGGACAGGGCTGCTGTGACGCCCCCCAGGTATGAGGTGCTGGCGCAGTTCAATGCGCACGTGCCTATTGTCCCCTCTGGTCAGAGGAGTCCCCTCTGGTATTGCTCATGGCTGGCCAGGAGGGTCACTTGTTTCTTTGCTGTATTTCCCTGGGCATCCACTCCCAGTCTCGGCTGGGGCAAGTTACCGTTGAATGGGGAAATGGCAGAGCTGGATGAGACCCTTTCCACTGGGGAGGGAGCTTCCTTCCCACGGTCTCAGACCTGGCATCTTTGCTGGGACAAGCAGTATCTTGTCTCTACCCATTGTTCCGGCCCAGATTAGGTCTGTGAACAAGCCCTGCCTCTGCCAAGGGATTAGGTGGCACCTCTGCACAGTGTTCAGCTTGCGATTGTTAACCTTCCAGAGCTTTTCTGCAGCGTTGCCTCAGGCCAGCTGGGCTGGGGTCTGCCTCTGGACTCTGCTCTTCTCTCTGCTTCACTGAGTAACTTGTAGAGAAGATGTTTTTCAGTAGGCTGATAGGTTGGACCTCTGTACTTGCCAGGGACACATGGCATTGGGACCTCGCAGGGCACATACTCAGGTGGTAATGCTGTTTGTTAATACAGCTGAGCCACCCAGTCCCTCCCAAGATATCTCTTACCCATGGGGACCTTGTTCAGGGTCACTCCAGCATGAGGCTTTGGGCAGCAGTGGGTTCCCAGGGTTAAGCTCAGCTTTGCTTCCCGGCTGGGTGGGCTTCGAGGGCTGGTCTGTCTGGAGTTGCTGGCTTAGCGACTTTTCTGCTAACCTCTGCTTTCCTGCTCCCACCACTGCCAGGGACTGTTTTCATAGCAGTTCCCAGTTTAACCCCTGCACCT